CAAAGGTAAAATGCATAAGATAACTAGAGGGGACTGGAGACAAGAACTTCATTACCTTTTCAGAACTGGACAACCTTGCACATTTGCAGCTATTTTTGGTTTTAGTAGGTTTAGCTTTTTGATAGGTAATAAAAAAAGACCAGGGGTCCTATGTACAATGTTTTCATCTATACAGCATGTGACTCATGTATGATGCTCATGGCCTATATAACATCTAAAGATTGGAAAATATTACACGCCAATTGGTAAAAAACTGAGTGAAAGATAAGCATTCAAAAATCTGTCAAGATGGATGACCAATTAACCAGAAAAATAACAGCTTCTCAATCTTCCCAATTACCCTTGGAGGATGGTTGGATGTGGCCCAATCATCAACAGCTTGGCTTTTTGTTTTTTGACAAAATGTACAATATGTATTTCATTAATATAACCAAAAAGTATCCCTGTACAACAAGAGGCTGTACACAGGGAGTGTACATACTGCTGCCCCCACAGTTCTATAAACCAAATCCCACATCTTTACAAAAATAATCTCATGTACAAAAGGTCATTATAGTTTGTCTTCGAACAACTTGTTAGTAGCCAGCCAAGAATACATCTTTCCCAAGATTTTTTGGAACACAGAATTTGTAGAGCCTCCCTTATTTTTGAATATCCTGGCATTTCTATCTTCCCAAATACACCAAAAGACTATAAAAAAAAAAAACAGAAAAACACCAAAAGACTACAGCAGGAACAGTGTTCTGAACCAATCTCCCTCTCTTGCTCAAGCCTTGTACCCTCTAGCCTTTTACAAACTTTGCAACAGATTCAGGACAGCAGTTACTTTCTAAAAACATACCTCAAATTCTGGACCATATTTTGTGGAAAATTCATAATGCAACAGCAAGTGATTGATAGATTTAAAATGATCACCATACAACACACAATTAGGAGAGTGCACCACCATACCCTTCATCATCAGATTTGTCTCTTGTGAGGATTCCCTGTTCAGAAATGCAGGCCATTTTACACCAAATAATATTTACTGGTACAACCTGATCCTCCAATGTTGCTAGAAAATTGGAGAAGGATCTTACAGTGAATCTGCCTGATTTTTACCACCTCCAGATTATTCCATCAGCTGTGCTACCATTAACAGCTGTGCTTATTATACAAAGGGATTTGCAACCACCACCACCACCACACCAAATCAAGTTGAACTTTGATGGATGCGTAGTGGGTAGTCTGGGCATTTTAGGTATATGAGGTGCTTTCAGAATCTCATTGGGAGTATCGTTGTGCTTTTTTCAGGACTCGTTAGTTGGGGGACTCAATAAGAGCTGAATTGATTGCTCTCCTACAAGGTTTGAAGATTGGGTGGAACTTTGAAACTGAGAAATCTAGCAGTGAGGGGATTCCTAAATGGTCATAGGATGGTTAAAAAAATGGTCAAGCAACTTGGCTACATTGGCATGCATTGAGAGAAATGAAGCACTTGGCAAGATAAATGGTGCACTCCTTTGTTTGGATTCACAGATTGGCAAATGACTTGGCTGACTCTCTAGCCCAACAGGGGGTTAATAGGGAACACTTGTTTTATATGATGCTGAAATTAAAGGGGTTAGGTAGTTAGAACTACAAGTAGCCCAACAAAAAAGAGATTCGTTGTAAATAGCATTGTTTTATTTATATCAATAAAAATTACAAAGATAATAAAAAAATTCCCCAATTACCTTTTCTACCAAGTTTATCTTTCATTCTTTCTGATAGTAATAACTTGATAAAGTGGCACTACATCTGGTAGGAGAGGGGCAAAGCAGTAGCAAGTGGGCCATTGATTCTTCACCTAGTGGCAAAGAGAGCATTCATTTTGAATATCTCTTCTCCTTGAGATAAGGTGATCAGTTGTGAAGATTCTTGATCTGTGATGCCCAGATATAGATGTGTAACATGGATACAGATATGGGGGGTCTGGATACAGACTATGTATGTTTTCATGCTTGTCAGCCCTAGCCTTTACCATTACACCAAGCAATGGCTCCTTAATGGATGTATAAAACAAATGTCAATTAAAGACTATTGTAGGAGTTTGAACCAGAGGCCATGGATGGATGCTACAAGGTATATATATTACTATATACTTAAACTTATCAATACATATGATAGACTCCAGAGGAAAAGGAAATCTTGGTACGTATCCCACATGAATGTGTTCTTTGCCTTAAGAGTGGGGAATGCTCAAACCACATTTTCATATCTTGTCAATTTTCTTGCCAGATTTGGAGCTGTTTCTTTTCTTTGTTTTGTAAAAATCAGGTTGCCCCTCAAAGTACCATGAAGTTGTTTTCACAAAGTTTTCTTGGCTGTAACACCAGAAGAATGAAATTGCTTTGGCATTATATATAAGGGCAGCAATTTTATGGATCATTTGGGTGGAAAGGAGTGCAAGGTTATTTGATAACAAGGAATTGGGGGTGGAGCTATTGACAACTTTGATCTAAGGGTGGCCCATTGGATGCTGGTTTGTAACGAGTTCAAAGGTGTTAAAACAGAACACCTATAAAGAGGGTTGCAAACTATAGCTGGTTATTCAGTGGGCAGAACGAGGCTGAATGATTGGCATCCATCCTGGGTTGACAGTCTTAAATTCAATTTTGAAGCTGGCTTTTGATAATTCGTGCTTTTGGGGCCTAAAAATATTTTATACATTCTAAAACATGTGCATCAACTGCATGTGTGGAATTTAAGCTTCCACCACATGGCTGCATATATGGATACCTCATGACACTTGAATGTAGTGTGTGTCATGTGGCAGCACATATGGATGCCATGTGAATTTTGTATTCAATGAAATGTGTGTAGGCCACGTAGCAGCATATATGGATGCCATATGATATTAATCACATGTGTGTGCCACAATGGAAATGTTACATGGTATCAATGACATGTATGTTTCACGTGACAGGATGTCATATGACATCAATGACATGTGTTGCCATATGATAGCACATATGGATCCACATGGCAGTTGAATGTATTCAATGACACGTGCCATGTATCAGCATATATGAATGCCACATGGCACTAGAATGTTTTCATTGACAAGTGTGTGCCATGTGACAGCATATATGGATGACACACGGAATCATTTCATGTGTGCTATATGGCAGAATATATGGATGCCAACTGGCACTAGAATGTATTCAATGACATATGTGCCATGTGGCATTATATATAGATGCCATGTGGCACTTAAATGTATTCAATAAAATGTGACATGGTGGATATATGGATACCATATGGTAGTATATATGCATGTCACATGGTATTTGGATACACCATGTGGCAGCATATATAGATGCCACATGTCATTCATACGTGTGCAACGTTTTATTTTATCCAAATGCTGAACTATTGGCAGTAATACAAGGGCTTAAATTAATAACATTATGAATTGGGGGGAATGATTATTGAAGGTGACTGCAAAGTAGTGATTTCATGGCTCAACTGAGAAGCAGAACCAGCTTGGTAGTTTATTAGACTTTTGGTGAGGGATGCTAAAAATTTAGGAAGAAAGCGGAACTGCTCAATCAAGTGTCAAGGGTGTAATTGGGGTTGTTATTATCTATATCTGTTTGGTGTGTTCAGCTTATAGCTGTTTCTTGTACTCTCCCTACTGTCTACACTCTACACAGGACAGTTTTTTGGCTTCATGGGGCTGCACAACAGAGGGTAGCCCATACCCATAACCCCAAACCCTGGTGGCAATAGGATTTGATCCCACGCCTCCCCCACAATCAGCCAGTTACCAATTGAGCCACCTTCAATTGTTCTACATAGGACAGTTTGGGGCTCTTTTTCTAATCTAATACAATTCTGTTACTTAACAAAAAAAAAAAAAAAAAAACTTAGTAACTTGATATTGGGCTGAAGATTTTTCCTATATTACTTGCCAGATAAAAGTGGTGGATAGGGGTGTTCATTCAGTTGATTTGGTTATAACCGCCAATCTAAACAACATGTTGGTTTATCCAATTTAATGAACCAAACTGAATCAAATTCAATTTGGTCTGGTTTGGTTTGGGCCCATTAACAAAAAGAGAGTATATTATATTTGTATTAGTATATATCTATTAATAAAATATATGTTATATTAATAATAAATAAATAAATAATATATATTAATATAAATTATATTAATACATATATATCAGTTTATTCAATTTTTGGTTCGGCTTGGTTGAATTTTTTTGCCAAACCGAACTGAAAACCATATAAACTAAATCGAATTGGATTATTCAGTGTGGTTTTTGTTATTGGGTTGAAGATTTTGGGGTGTTCATTCGTTTGGTTTGGTTAGAATTGAGAATCTAACTGACATTTTGGTTTTATCCATTTTAATGAACCAAACCGAATTCAGTTCAGTTTGGGCCCATTAATAAAAAGAGAATATATTATATTTTTATTAATATATTAATAATATATATATTATATTAATAAATAATATCAGTTTTCAGATTTTGGTTTGGTTCGATTGAATTTTTTTCCAAACTGAAAACCAAAGCTTGGTTTTTGGTTTGGTAGCCAAATTTGATCACTCCTAGTGGTGGACGTCCTCTATTATTTGTACCACTAATGGACTTATTATGTATATATAACTAACTAGTTTGATGTTCCGAAGATAAACTTAACTTTTGCAAGAATAAAGTCGTTTGTTTCCTTTAAATGAATTTGAACTTGAGAAAACCATATTGTAACATGCCACCACAGCCATTTCTTGTAAATGTTAAATTTCATGGTTGTATATTTAGCCTTCTTTCTAACATATTTACTTGTTTTGTCTTTTTATTCTTACGCATATATATTCTTGAGACTTGATCAAGCTTGATCAAGCCTTGCTTATTTTTCTTTTCTTACCCCTCTATTGTTCTCCATATGGACCTTGGACGTTGTTTTTTTCTCTATCTTGATTTTATGATTCTTTTATTTCTTAAGGTAGTTCTAAATTCTTAATGCAGGAGAATCATTTTTCTTTGTTGCAACGAGAGACTGAAAAACTTCGTAGTGACATAGAGAAGATGCGCAGTGAATTGAGGTATGCCTGTAGAATTTTAATTCTTTATGCCATTTCCTATGACTATGTACTTTGAATCAAAATATTTACACTTAAGAACATTGATTTGACACAGGTATGAGATTGACAAAGTTACTGCAGGTCAACGTTTGGATTTGAATCTTGAAAGAGGGTATGAGAAATAAAAACCGTAAATTCCTTATTTTCTAAAAATTGCATGGTTAAGTATTGTGGTCCTTTGCCACCTTAATCAGATGAGTTCTTCTTTGTTACCTCTATTATATCCTTCTTAGTAACTGTTAGCCAATCAATGTAGGCGTATTCGTGATGAACTGGCCAATCAAAATGCAGAAACAACCAACCTTACTAACAAGCTTGACCGGGTGAGCTTTGTGATTAATGCAGTTGATATTTAAGATATGATAGAAAAGCAGTTGGGCTTATTGCATTAAATCTGGGATCTCTTGATTCTTTTTTACAGGAAATTCATGCATTAAAGGCTCAGTTAGAAGCAGCTAAGTATGATGTAATCAAATACTGCATAGGTACCCTTGTGTCCATATGTGCTGTTGGTCTTGCTATAGTCCGCATTCTGATGTAAAGAAATATTGTATTATTGTTACTCTTTCAATTTAAGGTGAGCAAAAGATATATTAGCCCATTCATTTTTTTTTTTCCTGGGATACTGGGTGCTGAAGATTTTGAAATTCAGTGTCAGCGTTGGTTGGCAAATGTGGCTCAAAGAAACATGTCCATTTTGAATAGTTGTCTTTTTTTTTTTTTGGGGGGGGGGGGTGATACCCTTATTTCTTGTGTCATTTCTTATTATGTTCATGCCATTTGGAAAATAAATAAAATTTGTGCATGTTAAATGTGCCTTTTGCTATTTGAGTATTCAAAATTTGCATGCTTAAGAGGAAACTTCAAGGTTTGTGTTTAAAGATAAAATAGGAGGAATTGTATGAATTTAGGAAGAGCAAATGAATATGGTGGCAATATTAACATGTTTCTAAAATTGGGGGGAAAAAAAGAAACAAAAAGGAAAAGAAAATAGGGAGTAATAAATTTTGATTTTGAGGCCTGGGAAGAAATGAAACTGGAGAATTCTTTAATGGTGAAGCTAGAGGCTTTCATGCAATTTGAGGCCATGGGTGTTTTACCTTGTTCTCTTGCGTGGGTTGGGCTGGTAGGTTTCCCTGACTGATTGTCCTGCATGATTGGGGGTTGATGCTGGATTTTTTCTTTTGTTGTTGTTCGATCTTTTTCTTCTATAGCTTATCAGGTGCTGTTTTGCCTTTTGGTTATGTTGGGGGAAGTGGGTGGTGAGTTGGGTTTTTTGTACACTCCTCGCATTATTAACTTCTTGCTCTGAACAAACTTCGCATGAATTATCTTAGATCAATTATTCAGTCAACAGTCACAAAGTATGAGATTTGAAGGGCAAGATAATTATCAAAAAAAAAAATGAATGACAATAATTTAGCCATGTAATGTATATGCTGTACTGCTACTCTTTATTGCCCATATGCATACCCTCTAGCAATAGAGTTTGGATTCAACTTGTCATTTTGGTGGGAAAGTTGAAGCTGCTTGGGATTGCCGTCAAGATGGGCAATTTTGCATGTATCCATGGTAAGGCTCTTCAATCTATAATATTACGCAACTGACCTCCCTCAGTCAATGCCATATGAAAGAGAAAAATACCCTCGTAAGCACAAGTGTAAGACAAACTAATAAACAGGAAAAGTGTGGAAGTAAATCATCATTTCTACTCCAGGGAGTGGGTTTAGCTTTCTTCATCTCCTAGGTCGTATCAGTTCTCCGTAGTTTCTCATCCTCCGATTACGCATCAGGAGGCAAGCCATAGCTGTCTAAAACCACTGTAGGTACCAATTAGCAAGAAACGAGCTTTTTTACCTTGTTCTGTTGCTCTTGCTCACTGTAGCAAACTAGCAGCATCAGAACATTTGAACATGTTTTTAAAATCGACCCGGAGAACCAACCGGTCAGGGGTCTGGTTCCCGGGTCGAATGGTCTGATTGTTCAAATTGAATGGTTGGCCCGTTTTGACAAAAAAACAAAAAAAAAATTAAAAAATAAAAAATGGCTGAAACCATTAAAAGGTTCAAACGGTTTGATCGGTTCAATCGCCTGGGTCAGTGGTTTGCTGAATCAACATTTTTTTGCAAATATCCAGTTTTGGGGAAAAACGAAACCAATCACCTGATCGGATCCTGGTTTTTCTGGCTTGACCATTCGGTCCGGTCCAATTTTGAAAACCATACTTTTGAAAGTTCCTGCTGGTCAAGTTTTGCCGTCTGAGCTTTGGTCATGCTACTTGAGGTTTCCACGGAAGAGATTTTGCCTTAGTATAGTCTGAAGCATTCGAGAAGCCGCACCATATATTTTGCACTATGTATTTGTATTATTTTCTAAGTTTGGAAGGAGTATAAGTATAAATATATAGAGTGCAAAATCTTTATTTTGTATTATTTTTATGTATTTGTATTATAGCTCTTCCCAAATTGAGTCTACATATTTACATTCAGACTTATTTACATCGTTGTTAAACGCAAGCTTATTGATTTAAAACGGAATCAAATTTCATTCTCACTTTCTTTTTTTTTTTTTAATTTGGATTCGACTATAATATAAAAAAGATATAATATCTAAAAAACTTCTGATCAGTCAAGTAAAATTATAAAATTGATAACCAATCAAGTATTATTTATCAAAATTCATAAGTGAGTTTTGATATTTGTATTTATATCGATACATATGCTTTTCTACATATTTACTAAAAGCAGCTTAATGAAAAATATACAGTACTGTTTTCTTGAGAGAAGACGTTAAACGCAAGTGCAACTATTAATACTAATTGGGACTAATCGAAAACTAGTTGGTGGATAGGTACGAGACTTTGCCATGACTAATAAATCTTTTCACGTAATAAGCAACAAATACAACGTCAACAAAACCATTGCTCTCAATTTCCAACGTCAACACGTGTCAGAATAATTCAGAGACCAGTGAAATGTAAACACGTTGGATTTGGTATCGATTGAAATAAAAAAAATTGGGATAAATAGACTGCACTCCAATCTCAGAAAACTGCAATTACAGCCGCTCTTGGTCTATTAATAGCCCCAATTAATTGCAATGGATTTGGTATTGATTCATGGTCTGGATTTATCCCACCTGTATGGTGGGGTTAAGAGTTTTGAGGTGAACTGAACAATAAAACCCCCCCAAAAAAATCAGTTGAAGTGATGCCATTGCAATTAATTGGGGGTATGCGGATTGTTCTGGGTGACAGGTAATATAAATTTAAAGTCCAGATATCATGTTGGTAGAGGGTTGAAACGTATTTTATTGACAGAAGATCTCAAACTCAATTCTTAAATATTACATACAAACTAGAAACCCATGATATACACAAAAGAAAAACCTCCAATGCTTGCTGAATGAGAGCAGAAGTTAGAGCCTTCATTCAAGGCTTGCTGAATGAGCAGAAGATTTCAAATTCGGTTCTGTTAGGCTATGTTTGGTTTGAAAGAAAAGTAGAGAAAGGAAGGGAAAGGTAAGGAAACCTTTTCAAATCTTGTATAGATTTTCTTACCTTTTTTCCTTCAAACCAAACATAACCTTAGAGTCCATTAGTCATTTTCCTTAAGAATCATTTATAGAGAACTATTCTGATATAGCATAGTGAGGACAGGATTCATACTCTCTACTTATATGGAGTAAATGGGCTAGTTGGCGTTTTAAAAATTTAGAATGAAATGGAACCACTTTTTCCTCTAGGTGAGGTCGGCAGTAGTCCAACTCAAATGGGCCACCTGTGATATTATAAAACAAATAACAAAAATATAAAATATAAAATACAGAAATTACTGAATTTTTGGGAAAAATTGAGCATGTATCTGATTTTTTGAGAATTATTGTTATTAATTACGAAAATGTATAAAATACAAAAATAAAGAGAGAATAAGGCCATTTTTGGTTCACTGCTTTGAGCCTCATTCTCTTAATTCTTGCTCATTTTAGGCAAGAATAGGCAATAATGGATAACATTAGAGTGTTTGGTTACAAAATTCGTGTCAACGGCCACATTCTTTTTAAAACGAAAAATCAGCCCCAAAGCACAAAAATTGACTGGCCTACAGCGTGAAAAATAATCATGCCCCATCTTGCTCATTTCATTCTTTGAGGAAACTCTACCTATAAAACTGTTGTCATACATGGTTACTTTTAAGAAAGCACTTTTACAAAAGTATTTTTATAAAAACACTTTTATAAAACTACTTTTACATGAAAGCACTTTTATGATAGAATATTTATGAAAGTACTTTTATAAAACACTTTTATGAAATCACTTTTATGGAAGTACTTTTATGAAATCACTTTTATGAAAGTACTTTTATAAAAACACTTTTACGAAAGTACTTTTACAAAACATCTATGCCAATTGGTAAACATTGACTATTGAAGACATAGGCTGTCAGTTTGTCATTACCGACACTTTTTTTTGAAGAATGAAATTGAGTAATATAGGACACTTGTTAGTCTGAAAAGAAATCATTTTTAGGAAAAAAGTGTTTGGCTCATAGCAATATTTTCTCATTCCGCTTATTTTTATTTATTATTTTTCATTTTAGAATTTCATCTTGGGTAAAAATGAAAAAGAATGAGAATTGAACCAAACATGACCTAAATGTCTAACTTGTGAGCCACTGACCAGGTCAAACAGTTAAGCACTTTAATTTGCCAAATCAGCAGATCGTTGAGAGAGTCACCATCTTTTGTGTGTGTGTGAGTGTTTTTTTTATTTTTTATTTTCAATTAAATAGCTTAGGCATTAAACAGACGGAAAAACCTGGCCAGCTGATGGGGTTGATTGGACTAGCCAGTTGGGGACTTGGGTCTAACCTAACTTTCAGTCAAAGCTTGAGTTTGCCAACCCAACATAACTTGGCGAGGCTTGGGCTTGGTCACTTGGTCAGGCAGGATGTGTATGTGTTGGCTGAGTTTCAAAGGTTTTTAATGCTTATAGTGCATGTATATAATTGAAAAAGAATGCATATGTATAAATAACATGCATACAAATTGGAGTTTAGCTTTATGGAATGCCACCTTAGGCTCAGTTTGGAAGGAATACAGTGCAACATATTTGTATTTGTACTCCTTCCAAACTGAGCCTTAGTGATCAAATGTAATATCAAGGCCACCCAATATCCCTTCATAACAAAAGAGCTTGTTGTTTAATTTATTTTAGGGGATATGCAAGCAAAACTAGAAAAATTAAACTATCTAGCTAAGTATGTCATAACTTATTCAGGGGTTACCTCCACTTGGAAAAGTGGGTTATGAATAAAGTTTGGATAATAATGGTGGGTGAAATAACTAACCAGGGTTTAATGATCATAAAAATCATTTTATATTGTCTTTGGAGGGCATTATGAACATTTTCAAATTTTATTAGCTTGAAAGAGTATTGGTGGGATTTTATTTTATTTTATCTTTTGGTATTACACACTAAACATTATAGGGGAATTGGGGGTGGGACAGAGTAGGGTGCACATAAAGCCCACTGACTGGTTGTACCATGATTCAAGCCTTTGGCCAGTTAATTTGGTTATACCCCTAAAATTGGAAGTCATAAAAAATCAATGATAACCAATGATAAGATTCCACACCAGTATTAAATAAATGGGGCCCATGAATTTATTACTGGCGTGAAACCTCATCATTGATTCCACAGCCCGCTGAACAGCTAAAGCATTTAGCTAATCCAAATTCAACAAAATTATCTACCCAATTGATCCAATTAAAAAACTAGTGAACTGGCTTGGTCTTGATTTTAGAAAATTGTCTGATTTTTTTAATTTGTTAAACACCAATACAAACTTCTAGGGGTCATAACTTTGCACTTGGATATCCGATTGGGGTGATCATTTTTTATTTTGGGTAACTTTCAACACTTACACATTCTCAAGGCACTTGCCTCATTATTTTTTTTTTCAAAAAATGCCTTTTTTGACCTTAAGTCAAATCATAATTGTTATTATAAAAAAATGAAACTAAAATAAAAAATATATGTTATAGTATAGTATAATTATATATTTTCATCATATGTATATGCCCAACCTTGGTTGAACTTTTGACCTGTGAATCTCTCCCTTATTTGATTTGATGCCTGGTTCAATTCTTTGAACATTGATATTTTATTTGCAAAGAAAATGGATTGGTCGAAGGTGGCCTCTTGAACAAAATAACCCGACTCTAGTAAATTGTCTCAAAAGTCATAGTAAAAAGTGCCTTGTTAATATTTTTTACTTAAGGGTATAGCTCAAGCTAGTCCAAATTATTTTACACTGCTTCACGCTTGGGCCTTTGGGCTGGGTTCAAAGGCCCTGGTGGTGGTGGGTTGTCTTTCAAGATTGTAAGTTTTGTTTTGTAAATAGGTTATATAATGGGATGTGGCACATTGTGCTGCAAAGAGAGATGGAATGAGATGCAGTTAATGGCTATGCTAAGGGCTGCTTAACCAATAAAGTTCCTCATGAGTCATGCAAGTGAAATGAAACAATTGAGTGATTGTGGGGAATATACGCTTATAATCATAATCAGTTTGGGAGGGCTTCAGCTTTGATTGAACTGCTTCAAAAAAACTAGCAAAATTAACTTCATTTCTTAACTCAACCTTAACCTTTTTGGGCTTTGTTTGTTTTTCACCAAATGGGCACTTGGATGGCTGTCGTGAAATGAGGCGTTAATTAATTGGACTCGCTTCAGTTCCCCCGGATTGGTTGGCTGGTCAGGTCTTCTTCAGGCTGACTTGTTTTTGGGGCTCAGCTGATTGTCCGTGTGTGTATATATACATGGGTCTTCTTCAGGCTGATTTGTTGTCTTTTCTTTTCTTTTCTTTTTTCCTTTTTTAAACAAAGTGTCCAACACATCTCAACAAATATTATAAAATAAAAAAGGCAAATGTGTGGCATACCTTCGGATTTCTACATTTAATTGATTAATTCTTTAACTTTCTCTTACACTTCCATTCAGTACATCAATCCGGGTTTATTCCTCATAAAATGTGCTTCAAACCAACCTAACCAACCTTACAGTGCTTTCAGCTGTGTATTGAGAATATCTCTCATACTTTATTTATGTTATATGTTGTCATTTATGAAAAAATTAGTCAGGCCCCATGCAAAGGGGGCATTGTCAAGAAAAATTGAAGCAAAAGGAATCATGCATATGACATTCCAAATGGACATATCACATCATATCTTTAGTTCATTGATATATAAATAGTTTGATAATTTTAATGTTTTTTAGATGAAAATGAATGATGTGGTAGGTCTTCTATCAATTTTCAAAAAAAAAAAGGAATTTTTTAACAAATGAAACTCTCTATACCCAAATTTTGCTTATCAAGAGTATGGGAACCCAAGATTTTGTTTAGTCGATTGAATTGCAAATAAGTTGTAATGAGAGCAACAAATTTCCTATTTTGTATTCATTAATTATTAGATTCACCTAAATTACTAAAATTATAAAAATTGATTTATACCAAAATGAATTTTCCAAATAACCAAACTTACAATAACTAAATTACAAACGTTACAAAAATTAAAATATTTAGGAAAATTGATATATGAAATTACCAAAATTTATATAACAAATTGAATCATAATTTTAATCTCATATAAGAAAATTAATCACCAAAATTAACAAAGTTAATGTACAAAAGCTAACCAAAATTATCAAAATCACTTTACTTTCAGAAATTAATAATTCACCAAAATTAACAAATTAATAATTTTCCAAAATTACAAAAAATATTTATTCATAAATTAGAAAAAGTAATAATCTATGGTTAATTCTTAATTTACCAAAATAAATAAAAATTAATTTTGGTGAATATACCAAAATTTTTAAAAAAATTGTCAAAACTAATTTACCTAAATTACCATAATTAGTTTTCCAAATAACCAAAAATACAATAATTAAACTACCAAAAATTACCAACATTACCAAAATTTATTTACAAAAAATTAAAATTTTAGGTAAATTAACATACAAAATGACCAAAATTAATATATCAAAAATGGACCACAAATTTAATTTGATATATAACAAAATTAATCACCAAAGTTAAAGTACAAAAAATACCAAAATTATCTAAATTACTTCACTTTTTTTAAGTTAATAAATTACCAAAATTAAAAAAATCAATAAATTAATAATTTCATAAAATTACCAAAATTATTCATTCATAAATTAGAAAAATAATAATTTTTGGTTAATCTTTAATTTATCAAAATAAATCAAAATAAATTTTTGGGAATATAACAAAACTTAACAAAGTTGACAAAATTAATTTATCAGAATTCATTATGAAATTTACCAAAAATAATTTACATAAATTAATTGTCTCTAAATTAATTTTCTAAAGTCATTAAGTTAATAAAATTGTTGGTTGATAATTACGAAAATTAATTAGTAAATTATTAATTTACCAAAATTAAGCAAAACGAATTTACTTGAATCAATTTTCGGTAATTCTTTACAAGTGTTATTGATTTACCAAAGTTCCCAAAATAAATTCCTAATCTATCAAAATTAATTACGAAATCTACCAAAATAATTTATCAAAAATAATTTTCAAATTACTAAAATTACCAAAAATTATTTTTCATTATCTTAGGAGAAGCTAGCAACATGTGGGATAGTTGGGATGTGTAATCTAATTATCCTCTTTAAGAGATGTGATGTAAAGGTTTCTTGAAAGGAAATGGAAGGGGTGTGAGATTTTAGGAGAAAAAGGTGGGATATGATTTTGTAATTAATATGAGATAGAAAATAGTGGGAAAAATTTTAGGAGTAAAGAGGTTTTAAACTTCCTCTGATACTGGAAGGCTTGTAGTCGTTGAATTCCCAATTTAGTAGAACTAAAAAATTTAGAAAATCAGAAAGGGGCTTTTGGGGTGAATTTTGAAGTAAAGAAAAAAATGGCCACGTATATATAAAATAGAGATTTTTAATGCACTACTGCAATGTAGCAAATCTGATTTCTCTTTTTATTTGTTTTTGAATCCAGAAAGCATTACAACAAACGGGGGATAGTGCACCCTCGGCAATCAGCTAAACAAATAGAGGAAAAAAGAAGAGGGAAGGTAAGATAAGTTAAAAGATACAAACTCCGAAATAACAATATGGGCTTCATGTGCAATTCAATCTACGGCCTGGTTCACTTCTCTGTAGACATGTGTATATGTTCATGGGTGATGCTCGGGTTTCACTTTGTTGAAATTCTAATGGCCTAGCCTGAAGCCCGAGCCCGAACCCAAGACAGTGTAACCGTCACCAAGTCTATACATCCACACATTGTTATTACTATTAGACACGGAATGTTAATATCGGATAAAATAGAGTTTGGATTTCCTACTCACTAGAACTCTGCCCACATTAACCGTAGTCACACATGGAGCACATCTCATTCTCTACATAATATTATGAAGAGGGAGATATTCCCAATTTACAAGGGATAATATAGTATGAATAGGCGTGGGCAGAGTTGTCGTAGGCAGGAAATCCGGAATCGACAAAACATATCCTCAAGTCAAGCCGCATGAATGTGTTTACTGTTTAGTTGATGAAAAATATAGAATAAAATCTATGATGCCGGAAAATATGATACCTTAATATTGGTTGTAAGTTTTTCTGGTTACAGTAAAAAATAACAAATCTACCAAAAGAAAAATCGAACCCAATGTTGAGTAAAAGTTATTAATAATATTTATGAAATTACTAAAAAACCATTCCAATTTTCTGTTTCGTTGTTATTTTCTGGGAAACCAAACAGAATTACAGAACAGAAATGTTTATGTTTTTCTCTCTCTCCCTTTCGATACACAAACAATATTATATTATACATGGAAAGTAAATTCAATTCGAGTTTTCTTTTTCCTGTGATTGTCTGTTTCTCCACCAAAAAAGGAAAAACACAGAGGCAAGGAAATTATTTCACTTAAATAGTCATATGAGGACAGAATAGAAGATGAATGATTGGTTCTTGGTTCTTGGAACCAGATCTCATATCTCAGAAGAGGGGACACTGCAAGCAAGGAGTCGGTATGGCAACTAGTCGTTCAGCTCTGGGAACGGTGAGCCCGAAGACATCGTTCATGTCGAGCTCGCTGGGTTTCATCCCATCTGGTAGTTCCCACGTAAAGCAATGAAGCAGATGAGCCATGGCCAACTCCAACGTGTAGAGCCCCAGTTGCATACCAGGGCAAGAACGCCGACCTGATCCAAATGGTATGAACTCAAAGTTGCTTCCTCTGAAATCCGGTGCTCCCTCCTTCAGAAACCTTGATGGTTTAAACGTTTCCGGTTCGTCCCAGGCTGCCGGGTCTCGGTTGATCGCCCAAGAGTTAATCACCACCCGCGCTTGCTTCGGGATGAAGTAGCCACCGACTTCTGCGTCCTCCGCAGTCTCGTGGAGGAGGAGTGGGATGGGCGGGTGGAGTCGGAGTGTCTCTTTTACTACACACCTAAGGAAGGTTAGCTTCTCAAGATCTGAATCCTGAACTCTTCGATCCAGACCCACCACGTCCACGAGTTCCTGTTGTACTCTCTTCAGGTCATCTGGACTTCTCATCATCTCCGCCATGGCCCACTCGATTGCCGACGCGACAGTCTCGGTGCCACCAAACATCACATCCTATCATAATTTTTGATAAAATCAGTGACATAATCGATAATGAGAAGAAACAGTAAAATATATAAATCTGGTCTGGTGGTGGGTCAGTAATCGTTTTCCTTCTTTTTCAAGTTTCAGTTCACATACCATGATTATGGCCTTGATGTTATCTCTGCTCACTTGTAAGTTGCCTGATTCATCTTTTTCGTCATCTTCTTCGTCATAAAAGGCAAGCAGATCATCTACCATATCATTATCTTCTTCCGCCTCATTGGTTCTCTTGTTCTTCCGCTTTGCCAAGTGAGCGTCGATGATTTTGTCGATGAAAGCGTCCAAGGACCGTCGGGCTCCATAGAGTCTCTTGTTGAAACCCTGCAGGTCGAGTCCGCCAAGCCAAGGAATGAAATCGCCCAGGTTGAAAGCCCCGAAGAGCTTCGAGAATTCCTGCAATATGGCGACGAACTTCTCCTGGCCATGACGTATGTCCGACCCGAAAGCAGCTCGGTAGGTTATGTTCATGGTGAGTGAGAATACCAACACACCCAGGTTGACTGGGGAACCGGCTTTTCCTGCTACTGATCGAATAATAGAATCAACCTCTTCGCGCACAGACGTCCATGACTCGGCCCGCTTGCGGCTAAACACCTTCATGGCACAGATCTTACGCATCTGACGCCAGAAGGGACCGTAGTGAGCGAAGGCCATGTCCGACCGGTCGTATGTTAAGTACCTAATGGCGATATTGGCCGGCCGGTTGGAGAAGATGTTGTCTTGTACTTGAAGAACCTGACGAGCCATCTCTGGGGTGGACACCACCACCATGTGTAAGAAGCCAAGCCGGAGATGAATGAGCCCTCCATATTCTTTAGCAAGCTTGGCAAGCCCTCGATGAGTCAGTTGGTCCATTATATTCATGTTCCCGATCACCGGCAACCCTTTTGGCCCAGGAGGGTACGGTTTCCGGCGAAACCGAACAAACACACCCAGCAAAAACAGTAGTGGTGGAACCGCATAGAACAAGATCATGTACAAAGGGTGCAGAGCTGCAGACTCCATAAATTCTTCTTTAATTTCCCTCTCCACCTTCTTCTCTTATTCTATCCCACTAATTTATAGGTATCTCTGAAACGTCGCACCTCGCACACTCGCGAACATTGCAACACATCGCAATATATATTACTCAGACTCGCTTTATGGGACGACGAGGGATGGCATGGACCCTTTTATACTAGTTGAAGCCTTGAAGGACAACATCTCCATTAATGTTTTTGATGATATTTCTAAGCCCCCGAAAAAAAATGGTTGGATGACATTTGTTGGGGAGACGTGTTTTTATTTTTTTATTATTAATGTTCCTTTTAGTAACTGATCTAACAAATAAAATGGTTGCAAACATGTCAAGACACAGAAAAGGATAATGATGTATAACCAAAACAGCTTAAAGGCCTCCGGTGTTCACACTGTATCTGATCAAATTTTTATATAGGATTGATTAATATCTTTTGTGTATAGCCCTATGGACTTTTTCATAGTAGGTCTAGATTTCTAGTATAGGTGACCTAATTATCTGTCTTAAGCACCACATAGGATATACATCATTCAACTGCGTGTTGGGGGAAACGGTTCACTGATGTAATGAAACATTAAATTTTTCAATAAATGCGTTTAGCATGCCCGATTTTTCAATAAACACCTGAGCCAAACATTCATATATATGGGTGTTTTTTGAAACGCCTATGTAGATCCGATGTGGCACCATTTTTTTGAAAAATGACCACGGTTCCAAACATCCCCAAAGTTAAGTTAATCCTTTGATTCTCCATGGTGGATCTAATTAATTTTCTGTCCAAGCTATTTCCAAGATTGCCATCGAATGCACTTATGTGGCAGCCTAAGCTTCGGGTATATTAATGGAGGTTGTGTCAACTGGTTCTGCTTGGGCTAGGAGGGTTTCCCCAAATTGATCTCTTGCTATAATTCCTATGACACACCCACCATTCTAATTTCTAGATGCAACAAATATAGGGTCTGTTTGGCGCATCTTTCCGTGCGGTCTTTCGGTTGTTTACAGGTCGGGAAGATCGAAAATCGGTCTATTTCTGTTTGGCACACAGAAGATCTAGTTGCCAAAAGATGGGATGCCGAAAAGACGCGAAAAGCCTATTTTGGGCTGATTTCGAGAAGCTCCAAATGAAGTTTCTCGCATCTTTCGCGTTTTAATTTGCGTGGAAAGACCCAAAACGACACACGGAAAGATGCACGTCTGCCAAACGGTCTTCGGGCTGCCCAGATCTTATGTCAAAATCTCAATGCATCTTTTGACTGTCAGAGGTACAAGAAGATCTTCTCAAAATGACTTGCCAAATGGGCCCTAAGTTAATTTTATTAATTTTTTTCCTACTTGTTTGGGTTTTTTCAATTTAATGTTCTTCCTGATTTTGTATTTATGCTGGTTCGAGTTGAGTTCTTTGATCAACGTCATATACTCCATAAGCATTTCTATAAAAAAATATATATATATATATATATATATATATATATATATATATATATACTCCATAAGCATCAAATCAAGCTTTCTCTATGAAGACCATACGACCCCACCAATCAATAATGCTTCCATCCTCCTGGGTTGGGCCCCACTGTTCCAAATTTGCTTGGCATGGAGAGTGAGAGAGTACTAATTAGGGGTGCAACTGGGTGGATTGGGTAAGGGTTGAACATCAACCCACCCATATTGATTCACTAACCCACCATAATCAATCATGAATCATTGTTAAAGGGTCATAACTCACCCATATTGACTCACTTGATTCATCCATATTGATCCTTTATCACCCTCACCCATACTAACTCATTTACCATTATGTATAAATACAAAAATGGGTCAAGATGACCTGTAAACCTGAAATAATAATTTTTGAGAGAATAATCTCTCTCAAGACTGCCACACGACAAAAATGAGTCAGGTCAACCTGTATACCCGAAAATGCAAAAATTGTAGATAAATGTAGAAAAAATTGCAGAAAATACAAAAAGTTCAGAAAAATACAAAAATACCAGAAAATTACAAAAAATGCAAAAAACTAAAAATTTGCAGAAAATTCAGAACTTTTGAAAAAATAGAAAATATGCAAAAAATACTAGAAAATTGTAGGAAATGCATGAAAAACAACAGAAAAATGCAAAAAATTATGCAGAAAAGCACCAACAAATTATAGAAAATGCAGAAAATTGTAAAAAATGCAGAAAAATACCAAAAAAATTACAGAAAATTCAAAAAAAGTTCAAAAAATGCAAAAAATACATAACTTTTATAAATGTGTTTTCACAAAAGTAATTTTATAAAAGTGCTTTCATAAAAGTACTTCTATAAAAGTACTTTCATAAAAGTGCTTTCATAAAAGTAATTTCATATATAAAAGTGCTTTCGTAAAAGCACTTTTGTAAAAGTATTTTTATAAAAGTTTTGTAAAAGCACTTTCATGTAAAAGTACTTTTATGCTTTAATAAAAGTGTTTTCATAAAAGTACTTTCATAAAGTGCTTTCGTAAAAGTCATTTTCATAAAATTATTTTATAAAATTGCTTTTGTAAAAGTGCTTTCGTGTAAGATTGCATGTGAGCAGGAAAGTTAATAAAAACTATTTTATTTCACTTTTAATTTCAAAATGACATGTGGCATGGTGGTTTGGAATTGTAATGAGATGTGAATGCAATAAGAAGCTTGAGTTTGAGTCACTTGACCCAACCAACACTAACCCTTTTCCATTGACCCCAATGGGTTACTCGACTCATATTGACCCACCAATAGATTGGGTGGGTATGGATGGGTTCCTAGGTGGGTGGGTCAAATGGGTTGAGGTTAAGATTGGCATCCCTAATAGGCTAGTACTAATTAAAATGTGATCAATGTCTCCTTCCTCTTCATTGCACATGGTTTTTTTTTTTATTTCTAAATCCCTTATTCTTTAAAAAAGTTCTTCATTTGGGTGTTTGGCAATTATGAGGAGCCAAACATGTAAAGGATTTTCGTTTGGAGGGACATTCCTATTTCCTAACACATTTCTATGCTAATTTAACCATGAAATTACCTTGGATATTTATCACCCGCAATAATTTATCTTCTCTATCCGCCTAAAAGTTGAACGAAAAAAAAAAAAAAAACTCTATTCTGCAATGGAATGTGAATTGCAAGGATTTTATACTTCAGTTTTTTATTTCCTCTTATACCACCTTCTGATTATATTTCTGTCCAACTTCCTTGTAATTAGGTTAATAATTAGGGTAAATTGCTGAAACCTCCCAGTCCCCCTTGATTAAAATCCTCTAACGGCATGAAAATATTCAAAATATCCATGCTATTATTATTGAGGCTGGTTTTTATAGAAAAAATAATACAAATTTCATGAACAACAGCAAAAAAAAAGAGAGTTTTAAAGTTAGGGATAAGTACATTGTACTCCCCCTCAGAAATCTGAAATGGCAGTCACCTCCTAGTCTACTAGTAGCCGGCCCTATAAACCACATCCTACCCGTGGATTTGGCATCAATCCACGGTCAGGATTCAGTCCACCCCTACAGTGGAGCTATGATTTGTAGGGGTGGACTGAACAATTAAAGCCCCTTAATGTTACAGTTTTACCTTTGAGCAATTGATATGAAGGGCAAATTTAGAAAATAAATCAATTTCAGAAAAGAGATTGGAAGAATTTGAGATAGATATGAAAAGAGAATTTGGAAAATAAGCATTTTGGACAAAAGTGGAATGGGTATTTTGGACATTTTCATATCTCTTGTTAGAAGATTCTAGCAGAGGGAGTCTACTTGCAACTTTCTTAAAAAATTTAGGGGAAGTAATTGCAATTACCAATCTTCAAGGGAGATATCAGCAATGGTCATATTTAGCAATTTGCCCTAATAATTAAGATCCGCAATTTTAAGGTTAAGGTAAATATTTTTCCTTAGCTTTCATCCATACACCCATAGATTGTTGTCTTTCGCTATTTTCCATCCTAGTTTAATTTTCTTATATTAGCAGAATTAATTTACTCCATTTTGTTTATGCTCACATTCCAACTCTTTGCTAGGACACACATTCTTTACCAGCCTCTAGGCTCTTCTTTATTTAAAGGGAAAGGCAATTTGTCATCTCTAATTCTCTTCATTATCTTCTTCCTTTACCCATCTATAGCCTCAATTAATCGGATTAAGTATCCTTTTCTTCAATTCTTCCTTTTACTTCTTATTTATTTATTATTTTCCTTTTGTAAGTGTTGGAAATCGTCCTATCTATATCACCTGTATATATAGCCTTTGGGTGAGCTGGATTGGGTTTAGTATCCCCTTGTTTAGGGAAATCTAGAGTTGTCCACCTCAGAGATTTAATTTTATTAGGTTTTTGGTTTTATTTAACAAGAACTCCACCTTTTTATCGAGTTGGGACATATTTCTGGAGTGGGTTTGTATTTAGGTTGATCAAAAATTCAAAATCTGTATTGCACCCGACCATAAGATATCTTAAATCTTCACAAAGGGGGTGCTCTACAACGTGAATTGTTTTCCTTGTTGTAAGTTTTAAAAACAAATTAAAATCATTTAGTTTGAAAACAGATTATTTCTCAAAATATATAAAACATATACATACAAAAAAAAAAAAAAACATGTTCTTGATTGTGTACGCCGGTATGTATTTTATATATGTTTTCAAAACGTGTTTTCATTTGATTATTTAAAATCATCTTTCATAAATCATACAATTTCCATATTGCAAAATTTGTTTTTATTTAAAAACCATTATTTTGATGGTTCTAAAAACAAGTATTGTTTTTTGAAATAAAACCGACTTATTTTTTGCATTTCAAAATAAAAACAGAGTTCACTAAAATGTTTTATTCTTCTTCTTCTTTTTTTTTTTGTGATATAGCGGTTTCAAAACAAATGAAAACGAAAACATTCATGTTAATTGTAGATCACCCCCTAAATGACTTGTTCCCATCAATTTCTAGAAATAGGAAGGGCAATTACTAGCACCTCATCGGGGCCTCAATCAAACAATTAAGCCACACTAAATACACCCTTTGATCTACAAACTATGAGGGCTTGTTACACCCTTTGAGCCACACTAAATTACTAGCCAGCACGGGCTGCCGCGCATACTGTCAAGGAGCCACCATTCTCTCAAGACATCATGGACGAAGTGTCCTTGTTGGATGGTGAGCCCCCCAGTTTAACAAATACGATGGGAATACCGACCCTTTTGACCATGTCGCGGCACTCAAAGCTCAGATGATGTTGCACAGCGCGTCGGAAGGACTGATGTGCA